ACACGCTAGGCCCTTGTTCTTGCAATTTTGCACACGCTAGGCCCTTGTTCTTGCAATTTTGCACACGCTAGGCCCTTGTTCCTGCTATTTTGCACTCGCTAGGCCCTTGTTCTTGCTATTTTGCACACGCTAGGTCCTTGTTCTTGAAATTTTTCACACGCTAGGCCCTTGTTCTTGAAATTTTGCACACGCTAGGCCTTTGCTCTTGCAATTTTGCACACGCTAGGCCCTTGTTCTTGCTATTTTGCACATGCTAGGCCCTTGTTCTTGCTATTTTGCACTCGCTAGGCCCTTGTTCTTGCAATTTTGCGCATGCTAGGCCCTTGTTCTTGCTATTTTGCACACGCTAGGGCCTTGTTCCTGAAATTTTCCAGGCCCTTGTTCTTGCAATTTTGCACACGCTAGGACCTTGTTCTTGTAATTTTGCACACACTAGGCCCTTGTTCTTGCTATTTTGCACACGCTAGGCCCTTGTTCTTGCAATTCTGCACACGCTAGGCCCTTGTTCTTGCAATTTTACCACACTAGGCCCTTGTTCCTGCTATTTTGCACACGCTAGGCCCTTGTTCTTGAAATTTTGTACACGCTAGGCCCTTGTTCTTGCAATTTTGCACATGCTAGGCCCTTTTTCTTGAAATTTTGCACACGCTAGGCCCTTGTTCTTGCAATTTTGCACACGTTAGGCCCTTGTTCTTGCTATTTTGCACAGGCTAGGTCCTTGTTTTTGAAATGTTGCACACGCTAGGCCCTTTGTTCTTGAAATTTTGCACACGCTAGGCCCTTGTTCTTGCAGTTTTGCACACGCTAGGCACTTGTTTTTGCTATTTTGCACATGCTAGGCCCTTGTTCTTGCTATTTTGCACTCGCTAGGCCCTTGTTCTTGCAATTTTGCGCACGCTAGGCCCTTGTTCTTGCTATTTTGCGCACGCTAGGCCCTTGTTCTTGAAATTTTGCACACGCTAGGCCCTTGTTCATGCAATTTCGCACACGCTAGGACCTTGTTCTTGCAATTTCGCACACGCTAGGCCCTTGCTCTTGCAATTTTGCACACGCTAGGCCCTTGTCCTTGCAATTTTGCACACGCTAGGCCCTTGTTCTTGCAATTTTGCACACGCTAGGCCCTTGTTCCTGCTATTTTGCACACGCTAGGCCCTTGTTCTTGAAATTTTGCACACGCTAGGCCCTTGTTCTTGCAATTTTGCACACGCTAGGCCCTTTTTCTTGAAATTTTGCACACGCTAGGCCCTTGTTCTTGCAATTTTGCACACGCTAGCCCCTTGTTCTTGCTATTTTGCACACGCTAGGCCCTTGTTCTTGCAATTTTGCACACGCTAGCCCCTTGTTCTTGCAATTTTGCACACGCTAGGCCCTTGTTCTTGCACTTTTGCACACGCTAGGCCTTTGTTCTTGAAATTTTGCACACGCTAGGCCCTTGTTCTTGCACTTTTGCACACGCTAGGCCCTTGTTCTTGCTATTTTGCACACGCTAGGCCCTTGTTCTTGCTATTTTGCACTCGCTAGGCCCTTGTTCTTGCAATTTTGCACACGCTAGGCCCTTGTTCTTGATATTTTGCACACGCTAGGCCCTTGTTCTTGAAATTTTGCACACGCTACGCCCTTGTTCTTGCAATTTTGCACACGCTAGGCCCTTGTTCTTGCAATTTTGCACTCGCTGTGCCCTTGTTCTTGCTATTTTGCACACACTAGGCCCTTGCTCTTGCAATTTTGCACACGCTAGGCCCTTGTTCTTGCAATTTTGCACTCGCTAGGCCCTTGTTCTTGCTATTTTGCACACGTTAGGCCCTTGTTCTTGCAAATTTGCACACGCTAGGCCCTTGTTCTTGCTATCTTGCACTCACTAGGCCCTTGTTCTTGCAATTTTGCACACGCTAGGCCCTTGTTCTTGCAATTTTGCACACGCTAGGCCCTTGTACTTGAAATTTTGCACACGCTAGGCCCTTGTTCTTGCAAGTTTGCACACGCTAGGCCCTTGTTCTTGCAATTTTGCACACGCTTGGCCCTTGTTCTTGAAATTTTGCACATGCTAGGCCCTTGTTCTTGAAATTTTGCACACGCTAGGCCCTTGTTCTTGCTATTTTGCACACGCTAGGCCCTCATTCTTGCAATTTCGCACACGCTGCAAGACGCTGCACTTTCTGCACATGTGCGGCTCCTTCCGCGTTTTGGGAGTGGAAGCGCTCGTTCCGAGCATTTTTCTTCCGCCAGGTCACGTGGTTGAGCATGTCTGGTCCTATTACCAAGCCAGCAAGGACGTGGGAGGGTTGCAAGCATCATCGGTCATCGGCGCTCGCGAATGATGAGCGCCCACTGCACTTCCTGCACATATGAGGCTCCTTTCGCGTTTTGGGTCTGGAAGCGCTCGTTCCGAGCTAGGTCACGTGGCTGGGTCACGTGGCTGCGCTAGTCTGGTCCTATTACCAAGCCAGCAAGGGCGTGGGAGGGTCACAAGCATCGTCGGTCATCAGCGCTCGAGAATGATGAGCGCCCGCTGCACTTCCTGCACATGTGAGGCTCCTTCCGCGTTTTGGGGGTGGAAGCGCTCGTTCCGAACGTTTTTCTTCTGCCGGGTCACGTGGCTGCGCATGTCTGGTCATATTACCAAGCCAGCAAGGGCATGGGAGGGTTGCAAGCATCGTCGGTCATCGGCGCTCGCAAATGAAGAGCGCCCGCTGCACTTCCTGCACATGTGCGTATCCTTCCGCGTTTTGGGGGGTGGAAGCACTTGTTCAGAGCGTTTTTTCTCCGCCGGGTCATGTGGTTGCGCTTGTCTGGTCCTATTACCAAGCCAGCAAGGGCGTGGGAGGGTTGCAAGCATCATCGGTTATCGGCGCTCGCGAATGAAGAGCGTCCGCTGCACTTCCTGCACATGTGAGGCTCCTTCCAGGTTTGGGGGGTGGAAGCGCTCGTTCCGAGCGTTTTTCTTCCGCCGGATCACGTGGCTGCGCTTGTCTGGTCCTATTACTAAGCCAGCAAGGGCGTGGGAGGGTTGCAAGCATCATCGGTCATCGGCGCTCGCGAATGAAGAGCGCCGCTGCACTTCCTGCACATGTGAGGCTCCTTCCGCGTTTTGGGGGTGGTATCGCTCGTTCCGAGCGTTTTTCTTCCGTTGGGTCAGGTGGGTGCGCTTGTCTGATCCTATTACCAAGCCAGCAAGGGCGTGGGAGGGTTGCAAGCATCATCGGTCATCGGCGCTCGCGAATAAAGAGCGCCCGCTGCACTTCCTGCACATGTTTGGATCCTTCCGCGTTTTGGGGGTGGAAGCGCTCGTTCCAAGCGTTTTTCTTCCGCCGGGTCACGTGGCTGTGCATGTCTGGTCATATTGTCAAATCAGCAAGGGCGCGGGAGGGTTGCAAGCATCATCAGTCATCGGCGCTCGAGAATGAAGAGCGCTCGCTGCACTTCTTGCACATGTGCGAGTCCTTCCACGTTTTGGGGGTGGAAGTGCTTGTTCCGAGCGTTTTTCTTCTGCCGGGTCATGTGGCTGCGCTTGTCTGGTCCTATTATCAAGCCAGCAAGGGAATGGGAGGGTCGCAAGCATCATCGGTCATCGGCGCTCGCGAATGAAGAGCGCTCGCTGCACTTCTTGCACATGTGCGAGTCCTTCCACGTTTCGGGGGTGGAAGCGCTTGTTCCGAGCGTTTTTCTTCCACCGGGTTACGTGGCTGCGCTTATCTGGTCCTATTACCAAGCCAGCAAGGGCGTGGGAGGGTTGCAAGCATCATCGGTCATCGGCGCTTGCGAATGATGAGCGCCCGCTGCATTTCCTGCACATGTGAGGCTCCTGCGTTTTGGGGGTGGAAGCGCTCGTTCCGAGCGTTTTTCTTCTGCCGGGTCACGTGGCTGCGCATGTCTGGTCATATTACCAAGCCAGGAAGGGCATGGGAGGGTTGCAAGCATCGTCGGTCATCGGCGCTCGCGAATGAAGAGCGCCCGCTGCACTTCCTGCACATGTGCGGCTCCTTCCGCGTTTTGGGGGTGGAAGCGCTCGTTCAGAGCGTTTTTCTTCCGCCGGGTCACGTGGTTGAGCATGTCTGGTCCTATTACCAAGCCAGCAAGGACGTGGGAGGGTTGCAAGCATCATCGGTCATCGGCGCTCGCGAATGATGAGCGCCCGCTGCGCTTCCTGCACATGTGAGGCTCCTTTCGCGTTTTGGGTCTGGAAGCGCTCGTTCCGAGCGATTTTTCTTCCGCCGGGTCACGTGGCTGCGCTTGTCTGTCCCTATTACCAATCCAACAAGGGAGTGGGAGGGCTGCGAGCATCGTCGGTCATCGGCGCTCGCGAATGAAGTGCGTCCGCTGCACTTCCTGCAAATGTGAGGATCCGTCCGCGTTTTGGGGCTGGAAGCGCTCGTTACGAGCGTTTGTTTTCCGCCGGGTCACGTGGTTGCGCTTGTCTGGGCCTATTACCAAGCCAGCAAGGTCGTGGGAGGGTTGCGAGCATCATCTTCCATCTTCGCTCGCGAATGAAGAGCGCCTAATGCACTTCCTGCACATGTGTGGATCCTTCCGCGTTTTGGGGCTGGAAGCGCTCGTTCCGAGCGTTTTTCTTCCACCGGTCATGTGGCTGTGCTTGTCTGGGCCTATTGCCAAGCCAGAAAGGGCATGGGAGGGTTGCGAGCATCGTCGGTCATCGGCGCTCGCGAATGAAGAGCGCCCGCTGCACTTCCTGCACATGTGCAGGATCCTTCCGTGTTTTGGGGCTGGAAGCACTCGTTCCGTGCGTTCTTCCGCCGGACTAGGAAGTTCGTGGACCAGGAAGTTAGCGGACCAGGCCATTAGGGGACCAGTCCTTGCACGCGCTTTCATGTGTACATGTGCGTTATTTAGCGAGGGTACAAAACAATTTGGAAGCAATACATTATCATACAAGAAGAAAGCATTCTTATTATTATTTTAGCACCTTTGACATACAAAAGACGAGTCTTAAATGGCAATGGTGTAGTTATGCTCTACTTGCTCAAACTATGGTGAGCCAGAAGTCAAGCAGCGCCAGAACCAGATGGTGCTGTGGCCCCGCGGCGGCGAGAAGTGGGTAGAGACGGCAGGGCGTCGAGGAAGAACTTGACCAAATCATCAAGGCTCACTTCCTCCTCCGTCTTCAAATCTAGATGCCGTACCTGATACAAGCACGGATGTGCACAGAGAGACCAGAGGCACAGATTGACTCTCTCTCCATCTTTCACCCCTCCTCCCTTCCCTCCTATGTCTTCCCTTTCCTCTGTTCCTCTCCACTCATGTTCCCCTCTCTCACACTCAAAACAAAGGATGCACTCTTGCTTTCCACCCCCCTCTCACCTCTTCACCCTCACCCTCTTCCTCCCCCACCCGCACACCCTTGTGACTGCCTTACCAACCTCTCATGTGAGAGCGAGACGCACCTTGGCAGAGTGGGTGTGCAGGCCGGCATCGGTGAGAAGCACGAGCCACTTGATGCCGTGCTCGTGTGCGTGCTCATACTGCTCCGTCAGGCTGGGTGCCCGCACACTCACATACTCCGCCTGCCGCACATGCACCGCACATTGGGCAGTGGGGACAGGATTCCACGTTGTCACTATCAGCATATCATCCCTCACTAAACAGTGTAGTGTATGAAATCTTCCACTGCCCACCAGGAACGTTTTCCTGCCACCAAGAGCTTGTTTTATCCCCGCCGTTCAAAGCTACTACTCCAGCCGCCCATAGCTACCTTGATTCCTGCCGCCCACAGCCGCGCAGAAACTTCCATCCGCTCGCTGAGCAGCCCCGCCCCTCCCCTGGCGCACACGAGCACATCCACCGCTGCCTGCCTGCTCCCCCACACACACGCACAGGGGGGTGCGGGTGGAGGGGTGAGGGGAGAGTGGTGCAGGAGAGGATGAGGGAAGGAAAGTGATGAAGCAAAGGGTGTGCCAAGCAAGTGAGAGGGGTTGAAAGAAGTAGGTGGTGGAGCGAGATGCGTGTGAGCGGGCACCTGGAAGTGTGGTGGGTGGTTGGGTGTGACGGCGCCATGAGCTTGTGCAGCGCCACACTGAACCCCACCGCCCCACTCCCCCCCCCACTGCCCCCCCCACTGCCTCCTGCCCCTCTTGCCCGAGAGCTCTGCGCAGCAGAGGAGGCGTGCAGCACACGCAGAGGAGGCATGCAGCACACGGCACAAAGCAGCAGAGGAGGCATGCAGCACACGGCAAAAAGCAGCAGAGGAGGCATGCAGCACACGGCACAAAGCAGCAGAGGAGGCATGCAGCACATGGCACAAAGCATCAAGGAGAGGGCCAGGCCACGCAGACGCAATGACAGGGAGGAGACACAGACACAGACATGCGCATACACGAGAGACACAGACACGCAGGCAAGGGACCAACCAAGAGGCACACAACAACACTTGACGGTTACAGCAGGGAGCAGCAGACTAACAGGCGAGAACAAGGAGAAGGAACAACATGCAAACAGGGAATGAAGAAAGAAGAATAGGGGAATATGGGGACGTTGCAGTGGAGCTACCCATGTCTGACACCCCACACCTCACCACACGCCCATTCCTGCAAACATGGAGGTCACAAGTCCCCAATACTGCCAGACCATGCCACGCGCTTCGACTTCCTGCCCCTAACATGCATCCCCGTCTGAACAACCCACCGCTCCTCTCCCAGCGGCAGCAGCGGAGGAGAGGTGGAGCAGCAGGGCATCGTAGCGGCCGCCCACAGCCACGCAGAGGGGTGGCGAGGACGACCACGGGGCGGCCAGGGCGGATGGGGGCGAGGCGGAGAGCGAGCGAGCGCCAGGCAAGGAAGCATCAGAGGGCAGGGTGGTGCGCTGGGTGCTGATAGGGTTTACGGGGTGCTGCTGCTGGTGCTGGTGATGGGGAGGTTGAGACGGCAGGTGCCTTGCGTGGACCTGAGGTGCAGCGCACGCAGGAGATACAACGACGCAGGAGGCAGGGTGAACAAGGCTGGAAATAAGAACTGGAGACATTCCATGGCTGCATGTCACATGCACGGAAGGAAACAGGAGCAGCAAAATCAAAGAGGGCGCTTAAGGGAAAGAAGAAGGGGGTGGGGGAGACCTGGAAGAAGCATTTGGAGAAGTAGTGGTGGGAGGGCGCCATGAGGGCGTCGATGGTGGTGCACGCGGGGTGGATGCCCCACACTCGCAGCAGCGCCAGCAGCTCTCCCAGCTCGCCCAGTGCCGCCGCCACCAGTGGGCCTGGCCCGGGGGGGAGGATGAGAGGGGAGATGGAAGGGAAAATGGAAAGACATGAGTGGGAGGAATAAGAGGGATGGGCAGAACATTGAAGTAAATGTTCCTTGCGCATACCTGGTGGCAGCGCCCCTGTGAGCGCATACCTGGTGGCAGCGCCCCTGTGAGCGCATACCTGGTGGCAGCGCCCCTGTGAGCGCATACCTGGTGGCAGCGCCCCTGTGAGCGCATACCTGGTGGCAGCGCCCCTGTGAGCGCATACCTGGTGGCAGCGCCCCTGTGAGCGCATACCTGGTGGCAGCGCCCCTGTGAGCGCATACCTGGTGGCAGCGCTGTTAGATTATACTACTCTTCTGTATCCTGCATTGATCCTATAAACCCTAGGATAGAGATAGGCACCCAAACAATGTTTGGGTGCACAACTAGGGTTAACCCTAGGTGGGGGTTGGAACCCAACCTTGGCCCAATTATTGGACCCCAAGGTTGGGTTGGAGGATTATTGGACCCCCCAATAATGTTGGCCCACTTTGACCAACATTATTGGGACCCCCCAATAATTCTCCAACCCAACTTATTGGTGGGGGCCAATAATGTTGGCTAGGTACCAACAACCCCCCTTTCCTTAGCTCCAACTATGTAAGCCCTCATCATTCCTAATCAACTCGTCGGTTCAATTCTCACATGGTATCAGAGCTCTTACGGCTAACGCCACTCAAGATCCTAGGACCATACTCTACCTCCCGCCGGCTCTGCCCTGCCCCTTGCGCCACTTAGCGCACCTCCCGCCGGCTCAGCCGTGCCCCTCGCGCCGCTCAGCGCACCTCCCGCAGGCTCTGCCGTGCCCCTTGCGCCACTTAGCGCACCTCCCGCCGGCTCAGCCGTGCCCCTCGCGCCGCTCAGCGCACCTCCCGCCGACTCTGCCGTGCCCCTCGCGCCATCTCGGCGCCCCTCTCCTCACCACGTCCGCCCGCCGCGACGAACGCGACCGTCAGCCGCGGACGCGACGAACGCGCCCATCAGCCGCGGACGCGACGAACGCGACCGTCAGCCGCGGACGCGACGAACGCGACCGTCAGCCGCGGACGCGACGAACGCGACCGTCAGCCGCGGACGCGACGAACGCGCCCGTCAGCCGCGGACGCGACGAACGCGGCCGTCAGCCGCGGACGCGACGAACGCGGCCGTCAGCCGCGGACGCGACGAACGCGGCCGTCAGCCGCGGACGCGACGAACGCGGCCGTCAGCCGCGGACGCGACGAACGCGGCCGTCAGCCGCGGACGCCGCGGAGACGCCCACCAGCTGCGGATGCCGCGGACGCCGCGGAGACGCCCACCAGCCGCGACGGACCCTGAATTAGGGTTTGCTGCTACCGCCCGTGGAGCAGCCGGACCGCTCTGTCCCTCAAGACGGTGTCGTCCACCTCCCCTCCCTCCCTCCTCCTCCTCTCATGGCCGACGAATCAACCTCGCTTGAGCTTGCCTCCATCGACAAGCTCGAGCTCCTCAACGGCACCACCGCCGTCAATTGGGTGTCGTTTGAGGAGAGCCTCTTCACGTACCTGGGCTCCGTTCGAGTGGGAGATTACTGCCTCCTAGACGTTGTCCTCGAAACACCTAATAGCCTCCCCCCCACTCCGCCCCCACTCCCAGGCTCCTCCCCCCCCCGACGCCCCACCACTCCCGACCGAACCTGCCCCCCAAGCCCCTATCCTAGGGGCTTGGGAGGATGATCCGGACAGGTGGGCTCGCACGCTCAACAAATACAACAAGGAGCGGGACGACTATGTCATCAAAAGCAGAGCACACGCAGCTGCCATCGCCGATCACGAAGCTGCCACTGCAAAACTTGCAGAATTCAAAGCCGCCTCCGAAGAGTACTCTGCTAAGCTCCGTAAGCACCACTCCGATACAGCTGCATGGCGCATTGCTGACCGCCGTGCACTTACTATCATCTTCTCATGCGTTCCCTCCTCTCTCAAGCGTGACCTTCGCCCCCCATCCTCCCCCTCCCTCTGGAAGTCTCTCTCCTCCCAATATGATCGCCAGGACTTACGTTCCCTCCTCTCCCTCTTTCGCACCTTCCAAGACATCACACTGGACTCCTCCCTCAACGCTGCTTCCTTCGCTCGGCGCCTCACGGACACTGCACAACGTCTCAATGATCGTGGCATCTTGATCTCCGACACCCTCCTCACAGCACGCATCCTTGACTGCCTCCCACCCACCTACGACACTTACCGCATCAATTTCACCTCCCAGCACATCCGTCCTCCTCCTGTGGCTGTTACCATCGACTGGCTCCTTGACAGTGAGGCTGGCCTTCTGCGTGAATCTGCCTCCATCAATGCCGTTCATGCGCGCAAAGGAACAAACACCGGCGAAAGCAGCGGGGGCGGACCAGGACGTGGCTCGGGCGGTGGTGGAAGAGGAGGCGGTCGCGGAGGTGGACGAGGAGGGCGCACTGGGGAACGTGGCGGGCGTGGGGCAACCACTTCAACCACGGATGGGCTCCCTCCGTGCCAGTATGTCATTCGCCAAGGCCCTAACAAAGGTCAGACCTGCAACCAGACCACCCATCCCACTGATACGTGCTTCAAAGCTCTCACCGACGAATGGCTTGCACGCGGCAACACGGGCCCTCCTCCACGCTGGAGCACCATCACCCCTCGCCCCACCCCTCATGACATTCGCACCCTCCCCGCCTATGCACCATCTCCCCCCAACCTCCATAATCTCCTCGCCCAACACCTCTCCCCTCACGTCCTCCAGCAAGTCCAACACCTCCTCCCCACACCCACCACCACCCCAACGCCTCCCACCCTCACCACACCCACCCTCGCACCTCAAACCCCTCCCTCCCCCTATCCTCCTCTCTCGCCCTCTCCTCCTGCGAAGCCGAACTATACGCGGTCACGATGGCGGCACAGGAAGCACGCTGGCTCAGCTATCTCCTCACAGACCTTGGCTCACCACAACCATGTCCCACCCTCTGGTGTGACAACGCTAGCACCATCCACCTCACCAAAGAAGCTGTCTTCCATGGTCGCTCCAAGCATATCGAGCTCCGACACTACTTCGTCCGCAACCTTGTCCAGGATGGCCACATCACCGTGCGCAAGATCGACTCATCCTCCAACCCCGCCGACATTTTCACTAAGGCCCTCGACCGCGCTACTCACTCGGCAATCTTGCCCCTCCTGGGCCTTGCCCCCCATGGTGACTGATTCAGGGGTTGCTGTCTTATCTCATCCAGGTTTAAGGATCTTTGCAGGCTAAGGGGTTGTGTTAGATTATACTACTCTTCTGTATCCTGCATTGATCCTATAAACCCTAGGATAGAGATAGGCACCCAAACAATGTTTGGGTGCACAACTAGGGTTAACCCTAGGTGGGGGTTGGAACCCAACCTTGGCCCAATTATTGGACCCCAAGGTTGGGTTGGAGGATTATTGGCCCCCCCAATAATGTTGGCCCACTTTGACCAACATTATTGGGACCCCCCAATAATTCTCCAACCCAACTTATTGGTGGGGGCCAATAATGTTGGCTAGGTACCAACCACCCCCCTTTCCTTAGCTCCAACTATGTAAGCCCTCATCATTCCTAATCAACTCATCGGTTCAATTCTCACAAGCGCCCCTGTGAGCGCATACCTGGTGGCAGCGCCCCTGTGAGCGCATACCTGGTGGCAGCGCCCCTGTGAGCGCATACCTGGTGGCAGCGCCCCTGTGAGCGCATACCTGGTGGCAGCGCCCCTGTGAGCGCATACCTGGTGGCAGCGCCCCTGTGAGCGCATACCTGGTGGCAGCGCCCCTGTGAGCGCATACCTGGTGGCAGCGCCCCTGTGAGCGCATACCTGGTGGCAGCGCCCCTGCGAGGCGCGCCATGGCATCGTCTGCCGGCCCACTGAAGCGCTTCTCCACCGCCTGCAGGCGATCCACCACCGCCTCACCCAGCCCCACTCCCTGCCACCGCACCGCACCACTCACCCACACACGCCGGCGCACAGGAACAGAAACACTGGCACGTTGGCACAACGGCACACACGCACAAACGCTCAAACACAAAAAGACACACAGATGGACAGACAGGCAGACGGACGATGGATCATGGAAGGACGGACTGACACGCACCTTCTCACAGCATGCAGCAGCACACACGCACCTGCAGCAGCTGGCGGCGAACAAGAGGCCACGCGGCCTTGCGGGAGGGGGCTGTGGGGGGAGAGCCGCCCAGCAGCGCCAGCAACTGCTCGTGTACAGGGGGGCCGGGGGGGGGGGGGGGGGTGGGGGGGGTGCAGGGGGAGAGGAGGGGCGTAGCAGGGAGGCATGAGCGCGGGTGGAAGGGTGAGAGGAGTGCAGGGTGGCATGGTGCTGCGAGGCATGGGAGATGGCTGAAGATGGTGGGTGGTGTGCGTGGTGGACATGGTTGAAGGGGAGAGGAGCAGGCGGCAGGGGGGAGGGGAGTGACCTGGGCGACACTGGCGACCTGCGGGCGTGTGACCCCCGCCCACTGCCAGATGGCGCACAGCAGGTCGCGGTGGTTCAGCCGCACCTCCACCGCCCCCCATGCCGCCCCACTCCCCTCCACCACCTCCACCGCCACCTGCATGCAGCACGGCACGAGGCAGCACGGCACGAGGCAGCAGGGTGCGAGGCAGCAGGGTGCGAGGCAGCAGGTAGAGAGGCAAGGCGGGGTAAAGGGAAAGCTGGCACTGTTCTGTTGCAGCACTGGGGCACATGAATCTTGTTAGTGTGCAAGTGGGCACTTGTGTGTGGAAGGGTTTGGAAGTGACGCATGTGTGTGAGGCACATGGACGAGCAAAGCGCTGCCTGAGAACGCACCTTGATGGCTTCAGCATCCGCCAGAACCGGCGTCCCTCCCACAATGTCAAAGTCTGCCTGCCACCCACCTCCACCGCAATGCACATGCCCGCACCACATCGCATGGCACGGAGCAAAATCGAAATGGCCAGGGGCATGGTGGAGGACAGGGGGTGGCAGCAAGAGAGGAAGAGATAAGCAGTTGGTTAGGCCATTTCTGGGCAAAGTTCAAGGTGCACCCTACCCTGCCATGCACTGCTGTGAGGCCCCAAGGAGCTAGCTCGCATACACGCTTGTTCAGCACTCACCTGAGAATGCTGCACACCGACCATGATTGCCGCACACGTGGCGAGCAACACTCGCTACTTATACCCCATGCCCTTAAGCCCTGGACTCTTGCCACCAACCCAGTTTCACCCCGTTCCATCACCCCTTTGTTTCAACGGGTCAGGCGACACACCTGCAGATAATCATGAGGGGGGCGGCGACCGGGAGCGCGGAGAAACACAGAGGAGAACTGGAAGCGCTTCAGAGACGAGGTCTGGGAGGGGGAGGACAGGGGGGACAGCACACGTGCCAAATGGATGGCAAAGGGGCAATGGGTCGACAACAGAAAGAGAGGAGCATGAGAGTATCGGGACATTCAAGCGGCATCACGTGCATCACCTGTGTGGCGGCGACCCAGCGGGCGAAGGTGAGTCGAGTGTCGTAGCGCAGTGAGAGCAGCGAGCCCTGTGCGTCCACCACCCGCACCGCCAGCCTGGCAGGGGCGCACGGAGAGGTAGGAGGGGCGGAAGAGAGATGAGAGAAAATGCACGGGCAGACAATGAGAGAGCATAGCGAGAAGGTCAGCACACACACAACATTGAGGGGTTAGGGTTGGCGTACTCATGGGTGCGGCGGTCGGGATAGGCAAAGTCAACGACACGTGTGTCGGAGCGCAGGGCGCCATGGCGGTGGAAGATGCACTGCACGCCCGCCATGAACGCCTCCCTCGCCCCCGTCCACTGCACCGCCCCCCGCTCCCACTCCTCCTCCTCCCCGGCCCCCCCATGCAGCGTGCGCACAGGTGGCGGGGTGGGCGCGGAGGAGGGAGGCGTGGCGGGGAGGCGGGCGAAGATGGCGGCGAGCACGCGGTCGTACACCGCCGACGAGGAAGTAGAGGAGGAGGAGGAGTCGTCCCCCGGCGCCTGGATGGCCCTCAGTATGCCTGCTCGCCCCCAGCGCAGTGCAGGGGGGGGGGCGCAGCGGCACACACGAGTGAGGGAAGGGCGACGGTCATGGGAGTGAACACAGGATACACCAGCAGGGAAGCCATGCAGGGAAGGTTGTGTGCAGGCAGGAAAGGTTGCAGCATGGGAGTTTAGAAGGAGCGCGGGCAGTGAGAGTGACCCCCCACCCCCACCGTTTGTGGTGTGCAAGCACCCACCGTTGAGCGCCTCATCCTCCATGCGCGGCGGCATGAGGTCGCATCGCAACACCTCTGCTGCTGACGGGCGGTCACTGGGTAGCGGACTCAGCAGCCGCCTCACCAGCTCTGCCACCTGTGGAGAGTGTGACATACACACACACACACACACACACACACACACACACACACACACACACACACACACATACACACAGGTGCAAACAGGCACACACAGGCATACACAGGCACATACAGGCACTTGGGTACACACAGAAACACACAGACGCACACAGGCGGGTGGTGGAGCACCCATGCGTGTGGCAGGGCGCACCTGGGGGTGCTTGAGCGCCCACTCATGTGGAATGGTGCGGTGCAGCTTGAGGGCTGAGAGCGTGTGAGCGCGCTCCATGGCCGTGTGGAAGGGGTGCCAACACTCCAGCAGCACCACGCCCACACTCCACATGTCCACCTGCCCACCCCACCCAGCTCACACGGGGATGTTAGTTACGTGCCACGGCATATGGATGCACAGGCACGGGTGAGGGCATGGACAGGCACAGGAGAGAGGTACGAGATGACAGGGTGCGTAGGGTGCCAGGCCAGGGGTGCGGATGCTGCGTGCACTTGCCTTGTCGTCCACGTGCGCCCACCCCTGCTCCACCTCGGGTGCCGTGTAGAAGTACGTCCCCACCTGCCCCGTCGCCGACTGCCGCCTCTCCCCCATGGGGCCCCCTTCCCTCCCCCCCCTTTCTGCACCCCCTTCGGGACTCAATTCCCTTTCTGCCTCTTCTCCAGCGTCTGCAGCATCGACCCCCTCCCCCAGCTCCGAGAACTTGGCTGCCGTGTCATGCCCCATGGGGTAAAGGGGGGGGGGGAGGGGAGTTAGGACAGACGAGTAAAAGATACACAAGCAGGATCACGGAGAAGAAACAGACGAGATCAGACAGGCAAACTAACGGTACACAGGGAAAAAACAAGCAAACCATCAAGTCATGCAGATGCAGCATGCAGGTGAGCGCGCATGCAAGGCGTGTTGTGATACCGAGGCCGAAGTCGCCGATCTTGATGTCCCCACGCGGGTCAACAAAGAGGTTGTTGGGAGTGAGGTCGCGGTGGATGATGCCCTGCCCGTGCACGTGCAGCAGCCCCTCCACCACCTGCCGCACCACCCTCCACGCCCACGCGCCATCCACCTCGTCCCCCCCCCTCGCCTCCAACACCTGCCGCAGCGTCCTGGCAGGCACAGGCGCGGAGAGGGCGGGACAAGGGCAGGCAGGCGAAAGAAGAAGAGGGCTCAGGGTGAAAACGCGCATGTAATGTGCATGGTCGAAACACGAACGGATAGGTGCACATTCTTCCATCACAACCGCAAAAGGCGGACGTGCAAAGAGCAGAAGGTGTGAAGAGGGGAAAGCAGTGTCAGAAAACGCACCTAGGGCAGTACTCCATCTGAACGCACCTAGGGCAGTACTCCATCTGAACGCACCTGGGGCAGTACTCCATCTGAACGCACCTGGGGCAGTACTCCATCTGAACGCACCTGGGGCAGTACTCCATCTGAATGTACAGGTACGTCGTTTCCGCCTCACCCCCATTCCTGCCGTCCCTCCCCCCCGGCAAGCTGTGGGAGTGGGTGAGGTCTGCATCGCGAGTGAGCCACTCCGATGCCGACGCCAGCGACGTGCTCGCAGTGGGGCTCGCGCTGCCCTCCATGCTGTCTGTGTCGGTGTGCGCGGGCAGGTGGCGAGTGGAGCGGCCGGCCCCGGTCTCGAACCAGGCCTGGTAGTAGCGCACCACGTGCTGGTGCTGCAGCCGTGACAGCGTCGCCACCTCCCTGCCATGGCCCCGCCCCACATGCAAGGGGGGTCAGAGGGTGAGAGGGTGAGAGGGTAAGAGGGTGAGAGGTTGAGAGTGTGAGCAGTTGAGAGGGCAAGAGGGTGAGAGGGTGAAAGCGTAGGAGGGTGGGAGGGGCAGGGCACCTGAGGATCTTGGAGTTGAGGGCGGGGCTCTTGCCCCGGAGGGGAATCCTCTTGATGGCATACTTGCGCCCGTCCAGCTTGTTCACACACAGCACCACCGACCCAAACCCGCCCTTGCCTGCTCCACCCACACGGGCAGCACGACCAGGAGGGGTTCATGGCAGGGAACTAATGAGAGGCAGTGATGAGAGTCACCAGGGGAGACGGCATACAGAGCAAGAAAGGCACGGACTGGCCTCACCCAGCATGGCATGGCCTCACCCACCCAGCATGGCATGGCCTCACCCACCCAGCATGGCATGGCCTCACCCACCCAGCATGGCATGGCCTCACCCACCCAGCATGGCATGGCCTCACCCGCCCAGCATGGCATGGCCTCACCCACCCAGCATGGCATCGCCTCACCCACCCAGCATGGCATCGCCTCACCCACCCAGCATGGCATGGCCTCACCCACCCAGCATGGCATGGCCTCACCCACCCAGCATGGCATGGCCTCACCCACCCAGCATGGCATCGCCTCACCCACCCAGCATGGCGACCTCCTCGAAGTCTGAGAGGTAGCGCGACCCCGACGCCTGTGCTGCTGCATCTGCAGCGCTGCCCTCGCCCTCCGCACTGGCCGACCAGAACCGCTGCAGCGCCCGTTGCACCTGTGAGTGTGAGAGTGGCGTGACAGCACAGCCGCACCCCTTGCATGCCCCGTTAGATCCCATGCCCTTGCCACAGGCAAGGCAGGAGCCATACAAGAGCGCACACACAGCACGGCTGGACCGGTGCATGCACACATGCATGGGCAGGATGGGTGGAGGGAGCGTGAGAGAAAGCAGGGACAGGTGGCGCACATGGCATGGCAGGAAAGCTCACGGATGGGTCTGCATGGGCGTGCGCAGTGAGGCGGCGGGCAGGCTTGCTGAAGACGCGGTGGAAGGCACGGTCGATGAGGCGCGGGTCATGGTGCAGCAGATCCGCCACCCACTGCGGTATCACCTGCCCATGTTGCACTCGCACTCGCACACATGCACACACACACAGACACGCATGCACACGTTAGATAGCTGCATCATCTCTCACTGTTTTCATTGCAATAACTAATCCTGCAGCGATCATTGCATGCGGTTACCTCATTGCATGATGTTACCTCATGACAGGTGCTTACCACAAGCCTTGTGGTTACCCAATGTGCTTACCTCCAGCCATGTGGTTACCACAGGAATGTAATTACCACAAGGCATGTGGTTACCACAGGGCATGTGGTTACCACAGGGCATGTGGTTACCACAAGACACGTGGTTACCTCAAGAGCGTGCAGCTGAGAGGTGAGGGCAGGCAGGGCGTGGGGCAGAGGGCCGTTGTGGCTGGTGACCATGCGCAGTAGGTGAGCCTGCATGCACATGAAGGGAATGCTTGTTAGGAGGGCAGCAGGGGAATGCACGGAGCGAGCAGGGCGCAGGGTGAGGGAGGGGGTACGAGGAGCAGGTCGCGCTGGATCATGCCCGTGTACATGTCGCGCGACCCACGGCGCTGCGCTCCTGAGGCCGATGCCGAGGCCAGCACCGCAGCTGCAGCTGCAGTGGCTCCCTGCGCTGCATCCCTCCCATCTGCACCCACTGCCGTCCCTCCATCCGTTGAAAAACTCCTTCCTTCACTCTCTTCCTCCTCCTCATCATCCTCCTCCTCCTCCTCCTCACTCTGCTCGTCCTCCTCCCCCTCCTCCTCATCCCCTCCATCACCACCACCGTCCTGCTGCGTGCGCCCGCCCCCTGATCCCCTGTGCCTCGCCGTGCTCCTCTGATGCCCCACCAGCTGCTCCACCTGCCACATGCCACCACATGCCACCACATGCACACACATGCACACACACACACACACACACACACACACACACACACACACACACACACACACAGGGAGCAGGTAGCAGGAAGCAGGGAGCAGATGTTCATTGGGGGAACTTAAAGCCCAGAAGTTAAGCACTGAACGCAAAGAGATTGAGAGCCCTGTTGTACCCCTAACCTGCTCCCCTTTGTCAGTCCACCACGCACCTCGGCCAGCACCTGCATGCTCCTGAGCCCCTCTCTCACTCGCCGGATTAGTTCGCCCACCGACCCCTGAGTGTCCTCCTCCCCGCCCCCCGACGCTGACAGGGTCACGGCAGAACACCCCAGCGGCCACGCGCTGCTGGATGGTGAGGGGGCAGTGGAGGGGGTGGTGGTGTGGGAGGCAGAGCCATCGGATGCACTGTCGCCCCCATGCTGCCACAGCCCCCTGCCCCTCTGCCTCCCTCTGCCGCCGCTGCCTTGGCTCTCCTCCTCTCCACTCTCCTGCTCCTCCTCCTCGTCGTCATCCCCCTCCTCTCCCTCGTGTGACGACTCGCTTGCTTCTTCACTCTGCTGCCTTTGCATCTTCACCGCACCACCCACGCCACCCGGCCTCCCCACACCACCGCCACCACCAGCCAAAGCGGTACCTCCACTCCTTCCCTCCCTAGCTTCTGTGCCTCGCCCCTCTCCCCCTGGCCTGCCACCGAGGCCCCCTCTTCCTCCTGCACTCGCTCCTCTTCCTTTCCCTCGCCCTCCACCCCCCACCTCGCCCCTCCCAGCTCCGCCCTCCTGACTGCCCCCCGCGCCTCTGCCCCTGCCTGCGCCCCTGCCTCTGCCCCTGCCCCTGCCTGCGCCTGCAGTGCCTGGGCCAGGGGGCCAGGCAGCGGGGGCGAGGGGGAGGGCAGAGAGGGGGTCGGAGAAGAGCCCCGCGTCCACACTGTCCTCCCACGCCCACCCCTCCTCCTCCCACCCCTCCTCCCCGCCCGCCGCCTCGCCTTCTGCCTCCTCCCCATCGCTGCCTGCCTGCAAGCACTCCAAGATGGAGTGTTAAGACGCCAGCGCACGCAACGCGAGAGCTGTGACGGCGATGGGGAATGAAGTTAGAAATGCAGAGACACATGCAGCACACAGGTGAAGGGCGATGAACAAAGCGCACCTGGGTGGGAGCAAGAGGGTGGTGTGTGGCGGGTGACAGTGACGAGAGGCGGCGAGAGAGGAACTCTTGTGCCGTCTCGGCAAGGTTGAATACCGTCACTCGCCCCTCCCGTGCTGCCCGTGCTGCCTGCATTGCCACACGCCGTGTGCAGCACGCATGGTCAGGTGAACGCTCAAGGCAAAGCCGCAACGCATAGGCACACAACAATGGACCCAGCCACGTTGGAAAGGCGGACTTGGTTGGAAGCAAGGAGGGAGATAGACAAGGGACGGGGAGTGGCAGTGCGGAGAGCAGAGAGGCGCCTGTTGGTCCCTCACCCCCCTGTGCCCTGGCCTGACCCCACCTGGTCGTGCAGCAGCGCCACCAGCTCCACCACGTCCTCCTGCTCCAGCCCCTCCCGCGCCTCCACTCGCAGCTTCAACGCCCGCCTCGGATATCCTGCCACATACCTGCACGAGGGGCGCGGGCAGGGGAAGGGGAGGCAATGAGGGAGTGGACGCGGCCACCTCTCCCGCTGCACCCCTCCACGACCACCCCACACCTCACTGCCTCACCGCAATACTGCCACACCACGACCTTCCCTGGGAGCGGGCTTGCCTGGGAGCGGGCTTGCCTGGGAGCGGGCTTGCCTGGGAGCGGGCTTGCCTGGGAGCGGGCTTGCCTGGGGGCGGGCTTGCCTGGGGAGGGGCTTGCCTGACGACGAGGTGGAGGGAGACGGCGTCGAGGTTGGCGTGGGCGGCGAAGGAGTAGTGCGGGCGCAGCAGCAGCGCATACTCCACCAGCGGCCGCTCCGCGCGCAGCTCAAAGTCGTCCGCGAAGATGGCGGAGCTGCCCAGGGCAGGGGGAAAGGCGGAGGGGCGACAGGTCAAAAGAGCAACAAATGCTATTGGAGTGCAGCCATGTGGGTGGATAGGCCTCCAGACATGAAAAATGACGCCAACACACGGCCTGTGGTTTCAGCCATACGTCCGTTGACAGGGGTGCGGCGGGGCGTACATGGCGGTGAGCTCGTCGAGCTGCTGCGCGCGCAGCTCCTCGTCCTCCTCCTCCTCGTCCCGCCGATGCCGCCCGGCCCCCGCGCGGCCGCCTCCGCCTCGATGGCCGCGCGCCTTCTTTTTGCCCGCCATGCGCGCACACACGCACGCCGCGCGTCACACACGTGTGTGGACCCACAACATCACTCCCCTTGAAGGAATCTTACGTACCCAGTGCGACCTACGCAATTAGCACTCGCACACGTTTAGGCGTGCTTCTGCGTTCGGTGACAATGATGTTACCTGCAAAAACGAATCCGTACAAGCTAATAGTTTTACTGAAGAAGCGCACTGACATTATTTCCAGAAAGACATTCAGAAATTCTTGCCTGATATCATTCGTGGTGCCACTACCGTGAATTCCACGCCAGCTGTGCCCCTTCCAACTTCTGGAAGGAGATTCCGTGGTACTGTGCGGTGCAACTCCCAGAAATTGGACGATTTCGCCTGCATCGGTTTCGCAAAATTCGCCCAGTGCGTGTAAATCTTTGCTGGCGAAACGACTTTCGGAATTCCAGAAACGGCAGGATGGTGGTATTGGCGGGAAAGGAAACTCGGCAGAATCAATGAACCACCTCTTGTTGCTGCTCATTCCACTCCTCTCTCTCATCAACTGCTTGCCCTTCGATCCGCAACCCCACGCGTCAATTCCGCACATAAAATCTTTGTGATTCCTCAGTCGTCAGTGATTAATCCGTTTTTCCCGGTCAGGCTTCTTGATGGCATCGGAGGGGGGGCAGTCGCCGGAGGTGGAGGGCGAGGCGATGGTCACGGTCGTCATCAAGAACCCCTCCGCGTCGTCGCCAGGCGACTTCAGGACGCGAGTGCGAGCGGCGGGCACGGTGGGCGACGTGAAGCGACAGCTGCAGGAAGAGTACGCGGGACACCCCGACCCGTCGCGACAGAAGCTGATCGTCGCCGGCCAGCTCGTGAAAGACTCGCTCCTCGTCCGCGACGTATTTAAACAGGTCCGCTCGCACGCTTTGTTCCGACCGTCTCAGTCGTTTAACGCGTGGTCGGCGCTCTCTCATCGTTATTGCCGCATGTCGCGGAGCTATACGTCTAGAGTCGTCGATCAGAGTCATGGTGGGAGGAAGACTCTGGTTGCTGCCGGAAATTCTTGTTATTCGGGAGTGCGAGCCTAAAGATTCAGTCAGTATGATTTTCTTGTTCCGTCACGTGCAAGTGCGTCAGGGGAAAGGATGTGCTTGAGTGTGACTCGTTTCACGTGCCACCAATCTCTGCGCTTCCCTCTCCCCCCCTGCGCTCCTCCGCGCGCAGAAGAACCTGAGCGAGCCCCAGGTGATGCACCTCGTCGTCTCTTCCGCTCCCCCCGGCACCTCCTCCGCGCCGTCCTCCGCGCCCTCTTCCGCGCCCTCCACGACTCACTCCAGCCGCTCCGTCTCCCCCACGCCCTCCTCCTCCGCGCGCGCCCACTCGCGCGCCACCCTCCCTGCCTCCAACCTCGCGCTTGCTCCTTTCCCTGCCGCGCCTGCGCCAATCCCTGCGCCCGCCGCCGCCGCCTCACTGCAGCGCGCAGGCGCTGTCCCGGGGTCCGGGCAGGCGCACGCAGTGGAGGCGGACGGGCCGGCTGTAGCGCCGGCCGCTGCAGCTGCGGCGCCCGCTGTGGCTGCTGCAGCCGCGGGTCCTGGCGCAGCGGATGGGGGGCTTACAGCGAGCGGGGGAGAGGCAGGAGGGCGAGCACCCACAGCAGCACCCACAGCAGCAACAACAGCTCCAGCTGTTACGCAGGCCGCTGCCGCTGCTGGGGGGGGAGAGCAGCAGCAAGCCATCCTTCAGGTGAGTATTCAGTCGCTTCTGCTGCCACGTTCGCCCTCCTCTTCCCGCTCTCTACCCTCGCCGCTCATCTCTACCCTTTCCTCTCCTCTCTACCCTCCCCTCTCCACTCAACCCTCGCTCCTCCTCTCTCCTGTCTGCTCTGTTCACACGCCTCCCTACCCTCTCCCCGTCCTCCCCTCTCTCCCCCTCTCCATCCTGGGCCCCTCGCAGCTGCTCGGTGCGCTGCAACACACTGCGCCCACTGGCCTGCCGCCTCTGCCCTTCTCGCCTCTCATGGCGCCGCCCCTGCCGGCCCTTCCGCCGCCATACTCGCCTTTCACGCTGCCGCCCTTCATGCTGCCTGCTGACTCTTCCATGCCTGCATCAGCCCTCTACCCACCTTTACTGCACTCCCCTCTGCTCCCCCTCTCCATGCCGCCCATGCCCTTCCCCTTCGCTTTCCCTTTTCCCTGGCCCTCCCCTCCGCCCATGCCCATGCCGGGTGATCCCCTCGCACCCATCGCCTTTGCCCCTCCCATGCCTCCCTTCGCCTTCCCACCCACCATGCCTCCTCCGCACCCATTCGCCAGCAACGGCAACAGGTGAGCTGTTTTTTAGAGTGCATTAGGCGTCTTAGCAGTGTGAGAGGCATCATAGCAGTGCGAGAGGCATCTTAGCAGTGCGAGAGGCTCCTTTATCTCTTCATGCTTACAGTTGGACTGATTTAGTTTTTTCCTTTTAGCCTTGAGCCCACTGCAACTGTTCCTTCACATTCTTATCCTTGTTCTCCACTTGATCCCCTCGCCCCACCATGTGCCCCTGCATCTGTGCCTCTGCCGTGTGCTGCCAGCCCTGCCCCCCCTGTTGGCGCGCCTGTGCACACCCACCCGCACCACCCACCCACTGTGGGCCTCGCACCACCACCGCCCGCACCAGCGGCAGCACCTTTGCCTCAGGCAGGGGCAGCACAGCCCCATCCCGCCGCCCCTGCTGCAGCGCCAGGTGCCGTGGGGGAGGAGGCGGCAGCAGCGGCGGCCGTGCAGCAGCATGTGCGGCAGGCGGGCGCAGTGGGAGGGGTGGAGGAGGAGTGGCAGCAGCAGCTGCAGCAGCGGCTGCAGGCGGTGATGCAGGCAGTGCGGCAGCAGCAGATGGCAGAGCACCACGCTGCCATGGCCGCTGCTGCTGCTGCCGCCGCTGCTGCACAGAGGGGGGGCGCAGGTGGGCTTGCAGGAGTGCCAGGAGGAGGCAGGGCGGCAGGAGATGCAGCAGGGCATGTGGGGGTGGGGGGGGGCGGCAGCAGTGGAGGGCGCGCCTAGAGTGCGGCGCATTCAGTTTGCGATCCGCATCGACCTCATGCTGCTGCTCAAGCTCACGCTGCTCGTCTATGTGTTCGGCCAGGGCGGGGGCTACCGCCGCTTCTTTGCCCTCATCGCTGCTGCTCTCTTCATCTACCTGTGAGCCGCCCAGCTTTTCGTTAACTCACACCAGCATGTGGCAGCTGTGTCAGCTCTTCACCTCTTTCCCGTCCTCCTCACACCCTCTTCTCTGCGCTCTGCGCCCTCTCCCCCATGGGCAGGTACCAAGCGGGCGTGCTGGCGCCGCTGCTGCGATGGCTCTCCCACCGCGCGCAGGCCGCCATGGGCCTGCCTCCCCACCCCCCCCACGCTGCTGCTGCCCCCCACGCTGCTGTGCCACCTCAGGCTGGAGCCGGGGCTGCAGGGGGTGGGGGAGGGGCGGCAGGGGTGGAGGGAGGTGTCGGCGGGGCGGCAGGTGGTGTGCAGGGCCAAGCAGGTGCGAGGCTAAGTGCTCTCTGCCCCACCCCTCTTGCCTAGCCCCACCCCGCTTGCATGCCGTTGCTTGACTGTGCCACCCCTCCCTTCACTGGCTGCTTCTCGCCTTGCCTTTCATGCTCCGTTATTCCTCATTCCCATCTTCAGTCTCATTGTGTGTCACATCCTTCGTCTCATCTTGTGTGCTGCAGCCGTTCAAGCCTTGCAACAGCAGCCACCACAGCAGGGAGTGCAGCAGCAGCAGCAGCAGAGGCGGGGATGGCTACAGGAGGTGCAGGTGTTTGTGGTGGGCTTCCTCACATCGCTGCTGCCTGGCTTCCAGCCGCCCGACCATCTGCCCGCTGCCCTGCCACCCCAGGCCGACCGCCCTCACCAGGATTAGAGATGAAATGTTAACATCAGTTAGTCGGCTCAAAAGGACAACAGTCCGTTCAAGTATCTCAATCAAAATATTCTAACCTTTTCTTTTAACTATTTGCACAAAAGCTACACTGAATCAAAACTATTTCGCCATCACCTTCCATCGACTTCCGCCGAACCACTGACGGGTTCGCTCACGGATGCTGCCCATATTGCACCATTTTCCTAGCTTTTCCTACGCCACAGCCTCATTTCCATCGTCGCGCGCGAGCGCACTCGAGTCGGCACGCGGCAACCCCTAGAGTCTCAAGCTCCTCACTCCTTCCAATCCTCGCCCCACAGGCGCGGCAGCGACGGTCCGCGCGCCGCTCGTGGCGGCTGTCATGGCGTCCACCCACTCAGACGCCGCGGACTCCCAATCGGACGGCTCAGATTCTCCAATTCTCGTGGAGCGACCGGGTCCGTCCGATGTGACTACGGTTGGCGAACTGGCAGACAGGGAGGCCGCAGGGGGCGCAGCCGCTGGCGGGGCGGAGTCGAAGGCGGACGACTCGTCCGCGGAACCACCATGCAGCGATGGCGCGCCCGGCGATCCGCGGAAGGAACGCGCGGAGCCCCCGGGGCAGGACGAGGCGGAATCCGCAGCGGCGCTGGTGTCGCCGTCGAAAGCGCACGGGCGAGAGAGAGGCGCGGCGGGGTCGGGGCAGGGCGAGGTGGCGGCGGCTGTGGGGCAGGTGGCGGCGGGCGTGGCGGCGGGCGTGGCGGGTCTCGCGAGCAGCGCGGGCGCCGAGGCAGCCGCCGTCGTGAGCAGCCTGGGCGAGCGGGTGAGTTGGGGGGGAGGGGGGGGGGGGAGAGGGGAAGGACGCGCGGGAGGGTTGGGCGGGGGAAAAAAAAAGTGTGGGTGGGGGGAGTGGGGCGGACGGGGGAAGATCGAGAGAATGCGGGGCGAGCGGGGGAGCGGGTGAGGGGCAACAGTGTGCGGCACTCTTGCCATTCTTTAAAGCCCTCCCTGCGGCCTCACCTCCACGTCGCCACCTCCCTCACAGCCCCTCCCCTCCCCTCCTCTCCCCGCGTGTGTGCGTGCGTGCGTGCGTGCGGGCGGGCGTGTGTGCGTACGTGTGCGTGTGTGTGCGCGCGTGTGCGTGCGTGCGTGCGAGTGCGAGTGCGCGTGCATGCGTGCATGCGTGTTCCTGTGTGTGCCTGTGCGTGCATGTGTGCATGCATGTGAGTGTGTGCGGTGCATGTGGGTGTGCGATGCATGTGGGTGTGCGGTGCATGTGGGTGTGCGGTGCATGTGGGTGTGCGGTGCATGTGAGTGTGCGGTGCATGTGAGTGTGTGTTTGCACGTGGGTGTGGGGTGCATGAGTGCATGCATGCGAGTGTGTGCATGCATGTGGGAGTGCGTGCATGCGTGCATGCATGGGGGTGTGTGTGCATGTGTGCGTGCATGTGTGCATGCATGTGTGCGTGCATGTGTGCGTGCATGTGTGCGTGCATGTGTGCGTGCATGTGTGCGTGCATGTGTGCGTGCATGTGTGCGTGCATGTGTGCGTGTGCGTGCATGTGTGCGTGCATGTGTGCGTGCATGTGTGCGTGCATGTGTGCGTGCATGTGTGCGTGCATGTGTGCGTGCATGTGTGCGTGCATGTGTGCGTGCATGTGTGCGTGCATGTGTGCGTGCATGTGTGCGTGCATGTGTGCGTGCATGTGTGCGTGCATGTGTGCGTGCATGTGTGCATGCATGTGCGTGCGTGCATGTGCGTGCATGCATGTGCGTGCATGTGTGCGTGCATGTGTGCGTGCATGTGTGCGTGCATGTGTGCGTGCATGTGTGCGTGCATGTGTGCGTGCATGTGTGCGTGCATGTGTGCATGCATGTGTGCGTGCATGTGTGCATGCATGGGAGCGCGTGGAGCAGGTGACAGGGCTGAGCACGGGCTTTGTGTCGCTCTTCAGTGTCTTTGACTCCGCTATCGCCTACCCCTTCGACAAGCCCACTGCTCCCGCCGCCGCCGGGGGTGGCAGCAGCGCAGCGCAGGCAGAGGCGCACAAGGCCAGGGGGGGCAGTGATGGCAGGGGGACGGGGGGCGCGGAGGAGGAGGGGCAGGCAGGGGCGGAGGGCAGTGCGCGGTCGCCCCACCCGTCCAGAGCCATCGACCTGCAGGCCATCTTTGGCCTCCCCACCCATGAGACCCTGCTGGAAGGTGCGTGGAATGTTCCATGCGAGCCGTGCATGCTGTGCTGCTGGGCTGCTGTGGTGCTGTGCCTGTTGCCCCCTTTCCTCAACACTCCCTTCCCCATCCTCCCCCATCCTTCATCCTTCCTGCCGCATTCCTTTTGCAGTCATCATCTCGTGAATTCCTCACACTCCACACTGCCATATACTTCTTTCCCCTTCTCACCCTCTCCACCGTACGCCCTCCTCATACCTCTCCCTTCTCTCCGCTCTGCGCATCACTTCACTTCTCAACCCCACCTCCCACTCCACCCCCTTTCTCACTCCCTCTTCTCCCACGGCCCCCAGCCTTCCCCTGTCGGCTGCTGCAGCTGTACCGACCAGTGTACAACACGTTCACGCCCGACATGCGGAGGGCCTTCAGGGGCACGCTCTACATCACACACCAGCACGTCTGCCTCTGCCTTGACGACAGTGGACGCCGCATCCCCGTGAGGGCCCTGCCCTGCTGCTCATCCAGCAGCCCCTCTATGCTCACCAACCCCGTCTCTCTTTGCCTCGCCCCATTAAGTTCACCATTTTCCCACTCCCTTCCCCCCGCCATTCCCGCCCTTGTTCCTTTTCCTTGCCCACTTCCATGCCCTTGCCCACTCCCCTCCCCACATTCCTCTCGGTGCTGCCCGGGGCCGTGCCATGTGTGGGCTGGGGGGGGGCGTGCCATGTGTGGGCTGGGGGGGGGCCGTGCCATGTGTGGGCTGGGGGGGGGCGTGCCATGTGTGGGCTGGGGGTGGCCGTGCCATGTGTGGGCTGGGGTGGGGCGTGCCATGTGTGGGCTGGGGTGGGGCGTGCCATGTGTGGGCTGGGGTGGGGCGTGCCATGTGTGGGCTGGGGTGGGGCGTGCCATGTGTGGGCTGGGGTGGGGCGTGCCATGTGTGGGCTGGGGTGGGGCGTGCCATGTGTGGGCTGGGGTGGGGCGTGCCATGTGTGGGCTGGGGTGGGGCGTGCCATGTGTGGGCTGGGGTGGGGCGTGCCATGTGTGGGCTGGGGTGGGGCGTGCCATGTGTGGGCTGGGGTGGGGCGTGCCATGTGTGGGCTGGGGTGGGGCGTGCCATGTGTGGGCTGGGGTGGGGCGTGCCATGTGTGGGCTGGGGTGGGGCGTGCCATGTGTGGGCTGGGGTGGGGCGTGCCATGTGTGGGCTGGGGTGGGGCGTGCCATGTGTGGGCTGGGGTGGGGCGTGCCATGTGTGGGCTGGGGTGGGGCGTGCCATGTGTGGGCTGGGGTGGGGCGTGCCATGTGTGGGCTGGGGTGGGGCGTGCCATGTGTGGGCTGGGGTGGGGCGTGCCATGTGTGGGCTGGGGTGGGGCGTGCCATGTGTGGGCTGGGGTGGGGCGTGCCATGTGTGGGCTGGGGTGGGGCGTGCCATGTGTGGGCTGGGGTGGGGCGGTGGGGCAGATAAAGCTGGAGGCAGCGGAGGTGGCGGGGGTGGGGAAGCAAGCAGCCAGGCGGGGCGACAGCAGCGACCAGCTCAAGATCGACCTCTCAGGCGCGCACACCTCGGTGGGTGCTGTCGGGGGCGCACAGCTCGGTGGGTGCTGCGGGGGGCTCTCATCCCTCCACCCACCCTGCCCTGATCGCCACTGCCTATGTTTCCTCTGTCGCATTTCCCCCCTCTCTCTGGCTCCCTGTCTCCCTCTTCCCCCTCCCTTCTCTCCCTCTTCCCCCTCCCTTCTCTCCCTCTTCCCCCTCCCTTCTCTCCCTCACCACCTCTCCCCCATGTTCCCCTCACCCCCGCACCCCCGCACCCCCACTGTCCACCACAGCTACTGCTGCAGGACTTCGCCTCCCCTGATGTGCTGGACAGCGCCCTCGCTCTCCTCGAACACATCACCTCCTGATGCCGCCCCGCCTCACAACCCACCGCTTGCCTCCCGCTCCATGCCGCCCCGCTTACGCTGCCCCGCCTCATGCCGCCCCGCTTACACTGCCCCGCCTCATGCCGCCCCGCTTACACTGCCCCGCCTCGTGCTGCCCCGCCTCAGCCCTTCACAGAGTGGGGTCAGCCGCAGGTTGGGCTCTTGGGGTGCATGTGTGCACCACATGGGATGAACCATCGTCACAGTAATGGTAATGGGTAACGGTAACGTGCAGTGCTCTCAGCACACCGTCCACCACATTCCAGCTCATGGCACGGGCTACGATCCCGTTTGGGGCATGCCCAGCCACATGAGGCGTGTGCTCTCGTGCTGCCTGCCTGTTCCTTCCCCACTTTAGAGTGTGGCTTCCAACTGGTTTTGCATTTTATAGTAGACATATATATAGAACCACTTTACACGGGCCTTCTAGGCTACTATATGCAGTGCAGGTCAGGGATCGTTGTACGTATGCTATGCATGGGTAGACGGACTAGGGTGGTGCGAAAGCAGTGCTGCATGATCCACGCAGGGCAGCAGGGCACAGGACATGGGATGCAGGTGGGGTGTGTGCATGCACTGTCACAGGTGAAAGCCACATGGGCTGGTCAGCTGCTGCTGCTGCTGCAGCAGCACAGAGGGCTCCTCCTGTCTGCTGCCGCCACCACTGCTGCCTACACCGCCCACCAACGCCTTGTCTGCTTGCAGAGTGAACGCCAGCTGATCCATCTCTCCCATCACGTCCCCCCTCTCTCCCTCACCATACCCGCCCTCCCTGCCACTGCCTCTGCTGCCGTCCGACTCGCCCCTCTCCATCTCGCCTCCACCGTCATCCCGCCAGCTGCCCCCGTCCTCGCCACCGTCGCTGCGGTCGTCACGTGCCTCGCCGTCCTCGGCGCCGCGCTGGCGCTCAAAGCGGCTCACAAAGCGCTCGATCACCACGTCGGGGTGCTGCACTGCCACCGCCTGGGGGATGCACGGGGGCCGAGCAGGGGAGGGGAGAGGGAGAAGGGAGCATGAGGTGGTGAGCATGACGGGCGTTCTTCGCTGACCTGCACCGGGGCAGACGTACACCGGGGCTGACCTGCAGCTGCGGGTGGACGTGGGTGGGGTGACTGACCAGCACCTGTTGTGGCGTGCACGGGGCTGACCTGCAGTTGCTGCTGCAGGTGGCGCATGTAGTCAATAGCATCGTCCAGCATGTCGGCCGTGTTGGCCTGCTTGTCCGTGTTGGGCACCAGCTCCGCCAGCCGCTTCATGTTGTCCGCTATGCGCGACCGCCGCACCTGCACCACACAGGCATGGGGATGGGCCAGGGGTTCAGAGTGGGGTGAGGTCAACGCTAGGCGGCAGCAACTTCAGTGTAGATAGTGCGGTGCAACGTGGTGCTCAGCAGTGAAGGGCGGTGGAAGGAAAGGCAATGGAGTGTAAAAAGGGCGTCGTACCCGTTCGGCGATGCTGCGAGGGTGGGTAGCGCAGCCTCGCTTAGCGCGTATCTTACACAGCACGCCATCCTCCGACGCCAACAGTCGTCCGTTCGCCGCTGCGCGTGCCACGTCCTCCCCCAACCCCGCCGCCATGCGCCCAAGATTCAGCGCCCCGGGCCCTGCCACAGCGGAAATCCCCCCCAAGCCCGTTCTGTGCACCTTTCCCCCGCCCTCGCTGTCGCGGAACGGTCCGCCTGCGCCTCCCGGCGGCGCCATCCGCTTGGAGCGCGGCAGCAGCTGCATCTCGCGCTCCTCCGCCGCCCGCTTCTGCTGAGCCGTCGCCGCTGACTCTCCCGCGGGAGGCTTGGAGGCGCCACGCGACGGGGAGGAGAGGGGCGCGGAGGCGGCGAGCGGGGGCGCATGGGAGGGGGCGAGGCCGGCGCGCATGATGGCGCCGAGCTGGCTGCTGAAGTCGATGCCGCCGGGTACCGACGCGCTTGGGGGGCCGGACGCGGGGAGAAGCACGTGGGAGTGGGAGGGCGCGGAGGCAGTGCGGGCGAACGGGAACGCGGAGTGGGACGGCGGCAGGTGTTGGTCGTGTAGGTGAGAGGAGCGCGGTGCGCCGGACTGCTCCAAGGTGCTGGCTGGCGCGAGCTCCAACGCCGCCAGGCCTGGCGGAAAGGGAAGGCGCGCGGGAGGGAAGCGCGGGTCACACAGATCCGCAGTTGAGCATCGCGCACAATCGTCATTTACCTCGCGGAAGCGATCATGCATGAACGAGCAGTAGCGGTACTAACCGATGCTTGGCGTACCTGAGTGTTGCTGCAGCCACGACGACAGCATCCCCGAAGCCGCGTCGTTCGCGCCCATAGCGCCACCGCCGCTGCCCACGCTGCGCGCCGAATTCTCGCAGCCAGCCAACGGCAGCACCGCCAGGTGCCCCTGCCCATGACGCGCGTCGCTCGGCGCAGTGCTGCCGCTGGGTGCGCCCCGAGCAGCGGGCGCGGACTGACCGAAGAGGCCGGAGAAGTTGAGCAGCGCCGCCGAGGCCCCCTGCGAGGCGTCTGCGCCGGCGGCGGGAGGAAATGCGGCGAAGTTAAAGCGGGACCCCGCTCTGGTGGAGAGATCAGCCGCAGGATGCGCGGATGCTGACAGATCGCGAGACGCCGACACGTCGGACGACGCCGACACACCCGCTGCTGCCGCCGCCGCGGCGGCTGCGTGGTTGCCGGCCAGAAAGGCGTCGACGGACGGCATGGAGGAGGGAAGGCCAGCCGCCGTGGCGGAAGACTCCCCCAGCAGCCCGAACGGCAATGCGCCCGCCGCGCTGCCGCCCGCCGCTGCGGTGGAGGCAGCGAGGCCGCGCGAGTAGAGGAGGTATGGGTAAGCCATGCCCATGCCCATGTGGTTCAGCTGCGACTCCATCCCGCCCGCCCCCAGCGCCGCACTCATCCCCGCCGCCGTGCCGCCCGACGCGGGCGCACGAGACGACGCCCACGGGCCCGCCGACGCCGACTCGATGTTGAACGCCTCGCCGCCCGCCGCCGCTGGTGCTGGCGTGTGTTGGCGCGGCTCGAGTGCGCTGGAGGGGAGAGAGATCGGAACACAGAGACGACGGGGAAGGGAAAAAAATTAGCGTGCACTCGGAAGGGAGACGTGCGCAGGATGTGAACCATAATAGAGGAAGCGTTCAGAAAAAAATGGTTCAGCATTTTTATAAAACGTAGGGAGCGACGCGAGGCTCACTGGGGAGACGATTGATGCAGCTGTGACTGTAGCTGAGCGAGAGCCGACTCTATGTGCGCTGTAGGAGTCGTGGGAGTGGTGCGTAGGCTGCTAGGTTGACCTTTGTGCATCACAGTGCCACTGGAAGCGAGGACGCGAGACCAGAGACTCGAGAGATTGTCCTCTCCTCCTACCATTGCAAACTGAGCAGAGTTGGATTTTGGTTGCTCAGTTTGGTGCTGGCTGTGCACAGGAATGGTTATGCAAGATGGCAAGTGTGGAGTGGAGTGGAGCGGTGTGAACAGACATAACGCCTTTCCTCCTGGCTCTCCACCACGCTTTCGTGCGCGGAGGTGCACCCACAAGTGGTTTGCTCTGCCCGGCTGCGAGCAGCTGTCGTGTGTGCCGCTTGCCGGTGGTCGTGGAACCAGCTGCACCTCGTACGGCTGCCCTCAGAATCTTACAGTGCTGGCTGCCCGTGAATGTCACTCCAACTCGCAGGGTAATTGAAAGCGCAAGTTGTCAAATGGAGGCTATGTGGATGAAATCACTGCACCCGCCCCAAAATGTTTTAGCGAAAAACTAAACGTTTTCAGCATTCACTAGACAGCACTTGTACCAATTGTGGTCGTTCCCACGTGGCAATGTGCTCAAATCAGAGAACTAGCAGCGCGAACGCGAACCTTTGGCAGTCACAGGCAGAGCACACCAGCAGCACCAAAAGCACTGCAAGTGTTCCCAGACTGACGCAGAAAGCTCACTTCAAGTTGCCCCAATCCGATAGGCCGCATCACGAAACAGCCTTGACCGTCGGGACGAGAAACCTGCCCTGTCACTTGAGCAATTGCTTGCTGTGCTTGAGCCCTGACCAAACGAGTTCATGAAATCAAGGCTTGGAATTTGGGACTAGTTTGGATAAGCATTCCTTCCCACGATGTATGTTTGTGTTTCCATGATTTGGATGACCTGCCCCTGACCCGCCGATTTCGATGTCAATTCTGCCCTTGGGGAGGAGTGACTTGTCCGTTGCACAGTCCATGAGAATTCCAGAAGACTTGGTTCCTCACTCGCAAAAGCCAGCCCCGTCCCGCAGCCGGCCAGCAGAGCAGCTGCCAACTGGCTTGTCAACCGCAAGTCTTTGGCTCAACCCCCACAGTAAAGTTGGACTTCAAATGGACAGTGCACTGTACAGCTTATGGGCGCCGAGCAAGGACTCAATCTTCGTACTGGTTGGCTAGAATTTTAGCCAATGCTGGACACGTCAGCGTTGACAAATGCGATACGCGGTTTGAGATTCACGCTTGTGTCCAGAAGCAGGGACAACGACAAATATTGATGAAGGAAATGATCACAGGTAACAAATGCATGCCCCTAGCCGAAAGAGTCCCTCGACCTGGACCCAGAATGCTGCTGAGGTCAGCCCCAACGTCCAACCATGCTCAATTATATTTTCCATTCAAGGGCGTATGCTGCCAAAGCCCACACTTCAAGAGGTCGTACAGTTCTCAAGGCGTGCACACAAAGTACACCGAACCTCCGCCATTTCGTTCCTCCTAAATATATCCATAGCCAAAGGAGTGCAAAAGCTCCAATCTAGACGAGTATTCTAAGGGGGCACATTCCCCTTAAGGCTAATATATATCGGGAATTATGCGATTTGCTGACCATTTTAATGGTTTTCCCGTGCATGACATTTCAAATACTCCTGTTGTAACCGTCTTTGATAACCGCTTTTGCTGGTCGGTCTTCGACCTCGGTTCTACACTCTTCATGTAAAGATTTTCTCACTAAATAAATGTTTGTGTAGCTGTTTCACGTCGTAACATGACCGATGGTGACATAGCTGTATTGTGTTTTTGCCCGTATTCCCCCGGATAAAAAGACCCCCCCCTAAATAGGGGACCGGGGTCTTTAATAGGAGGGGGGGGGGGGGGGGGGGTGTCTTTTATTATGGGATGTTTGACCTGAAAACATTATAAGACCCGCCCAAGAGCTTAAATGTCAATTTTAATTGAAATAAACAATCAACCAGTCACATTATTGG